TGCTGGCTGGGGGATTCTGGGAGTTGAAGTCCACGCGTCTTCAAGTCGCCGAGGTTGAGAAACACTGCTTTAGAAGTTGCCTGAACTTGCCTGCTCGAATTCATTCCCCTGGGACCAGCCCCTCTGAGTTACTCACCTGAATCTTCCATGCAACTGCATTTCATACTGGAGGACAACTCTCCCTACTGGTGCTGTTCAAAGGTGGTGGCCTGAGAAGGCCTTGCTGGCTAGCAATGCTGGGAGTCGTCCAGCCCATCTAGAGACCCTCGGCTAGAAAAGCCTGTGCTCTCACCATTCCTACCCTCAATGAAGAACCCTGACTTGAGATCTGGCCGCATTGGAGCAATTCCTACACCACGCCAGCCGCCTTGAACACAACTGCGCTGCAGATGTGTGGACTTCAACCCCCAGAATTCCCCAGGCAGCAAGGCTGTCGCTGAGAGCTCTGGGTTTGCCCGCCCATCTGAGGGTTGTGGAAGGCTGATCTGAACTGTCCCCTTGTCTGCTCCGTAAACGAAGCAGAAATTATTAAAGTCTCCCAAGCAGAGGTGGTTAATGTGGTTCATTTCAACCTTAGTTTCTGTTAGCCTGTTCTGGGCAAATCCAGCTGTTGGGTTTACGGCGCAATGCCTGTGCAAACCCAGTAAAATGAGTTCAGTAAGCAGTTTTAAGCAGGTTGTGTGAATGCAGTTTCAGTGAAATTCAGAAGGTGGTACGGGGCAGCAAAAGCCATGTTTTTGTTACTCTCTCGTGTCCTGGAGAAATGCATTTGCACTGGCTCTGCAAGGTGTTGTGTTGGTGCAGGATCTACCCTTGAAAGAATCTATTATTGTTTTTTTAAATGCCCCTTTCTAGTTTTTATGGTCAGGAGGAATGCAGAATATCTGGCTCGGTCCTCAGAAGGATGGTGGAACAAGAATGTCCAGAGTTAGGAATGGAAATCAGCTGCCCTGGGCAGCTCTCGGCTTCTCCCTTGACCTAGCAAAACCAGAATTTTTAAAAATCAATATTTGCACAAAACATGCACGTTAGCCTCATCACTGATTTCCATTCCTTTTCAGAAAGCACAAATGTTTGCATCGCTTGGCCCGAGCATTTCATTTTAGCGCAGAAGGCCATTTGTCAATCCTGAAAATAAAACAGGAAGATTTATTCAGTGGGCTTTGTGCACTTCTCACAACAGGAGTGCCCGCAGCACTAGTCCAAAAGTCATTATGCGGAGGGTCGGGGTCTCCCCCACAGCCCGCCTCAATTCGTGCTTTTCTCTTCCACCAGCACGGGGCGAAGCGCTTTGTGGGAAAGTGTACGGTGGGGTCCGTCTGCCTCCGGCAGGCCTCCGTGTGCCAGGGGCTCGCTCCCGCGCCATCCCTCATTGCTTGGTCTCTGCTTTGCGCTCTGGAGATCCGCGGAGGCAGCATCCCGCCTTGTCGTCCGGCTTCCGGTAATACATCCTGGCCAGCACCGCCAGGACAAACGTTTCCAGGATCAACAGCTGGGCGTGCATCTCTTCGAGCAAAAGATCCGGAAGGAAGGATTAGGCTCCAGTCACCCAAGAGCAGGTGGTGGCTCCAGCTCCCCTCTGCTCCTTCTCCCACCCGATGCTGCCTTCGAGGTGTCTTGGGACTACAGTGCCCAGTGGCTGTGCTGGCTGGGAACTGTAGTCGCCACACACCCGGAAGGCACCCAGGTTGAAGGCTTTGACTGGCTGCTGGGGTTTGCCGGCCACTATTTAGCTGGGGAGGCTGGAGTTCAGACCCATGGTCCTCCCCGACCCTCAGCAAGTAAGTCTGGGTCATCCTGGCTTTCCCTCAGCCCAGCCTGACTCAGGCCTGTGGGGAGAGAAAGGGGGGACTCCCATCCAGCGCTGAGCAAAAGAAGGAAGACTGCAGTTGCAGTCACTCAGCACCCTTCCCCTGGTTAGGAATTAAACCATTTTCATATTGGAGCCACAGAAAAGCATCCAAGATCCAAAGTAAGCAAGCTTAACATGGTTTCTGCCTGACAGCCTTGTGGGTTAGTCCAGACAGGAAACACGGCCAGATGAGCTAATTCTACTTTATTGTAAGGTTACATTAACAGACTCTTGCAAGTCTGAAAGTACATCTCTTCTCTCCCCGCCCTCCACCCCTATAAGCAGAGAGAACAAAAGCCAGGAAACTTGTCTATGAGATCCCTTCCTGGAGGTAGATAAGAAGGAAGCAAGTCATTAAAGGAAAAACAAAGGATCTGAACCAGACAGAAGAAGTTGGGCCTGAGCACATGGAAACCCTCACCCCAATCCCATCAACTTGTAAACCAACCATGAAGGACTTTTGGGGATAAAAGGGGTCCCAAAGCCCGCCCACTCGGAGTCGTCTGAGTTGTCTGAGTCATCTTTGGATCCAGACTTGGCGGCTTCCGTCCCTCTAGCTAGTGCCTGGGAGCCTAGTTGGGAAGGACGTGGGTAAGTGTGGATGAGCGTGTGTGTGTGTGTGTGTGTG